TCCGTCTTCTTGGATGCTCTCTGGATGCTGAGGCTCTCTGTGGGTGCACAGGCTTTGGTACCCCTGGCCTTTTGGGCAGGTGTGCATGGCTGCAGCTGGACCCCCTGCAGCTTCCATGCCATCATCTCTCCTCACATCTCGGTCCTAATGCTGCCCCAGTCCACATGCAATCCCAGAAACACTAACGCCTTGCCCAGCTTTGTGCTGAGGGAAAGGCATGGAGGCATGCCCATGCTGAAGGGCATCGCACCCAGCATCACCCCTCCTTTTGCATCAGCAAGGCTGCTTCCCTTCTCAGAACCTCTGCTAGGAAATGAAGGGAGCTCCTTTCCTCCCCACACCACTGTAGGGTCTCCTTCCAGTGGGTTTGGGTTATGTGGAGCGTGATCCTGGGCTGTGCTTTTTGCAGGGCAGGAATCAATTCCTCTGCTGCACAGACTGCCTGTGCTGATGGCATTTGTGCTGGCCGCTGTAGTCTTGGCACTGGGGATTTTCCTGCTCCCCCTGTTCATCAGGTCAGTACACGTCTCTTCTCTCCTGCTCTTTGTTCTGTCCAGGGGCTGCCTGGTATGGACCCTGAAATAAAGCAGGACATGTTGCCATGTGGGCACCCCCCTCTGCTCTCCACCTCCTGCTGATCTTTTGGCTAACTTGCTGTCTTGCAGGCAAAAGTGCAACAGATCAGACACCTCTGAGATCAACAGCAGTATCCCCCTCCAGAAGTGTCGCAGAGGTGCGGTATGAGCAGTCTGAACAGGCTGCTTGGTAGAAAAGTGAGCAGGGTGCTCCCAGGCACTGTGAGACTCCTTGCAGAGCAAAGTGGGGCAGAGCTGGCTGGTATGGGGAATGAGACACCTCACAGAGAGGGAGACATGCATGGGCAAGGATGAAGCTGGGTTTGGTAGGGTTCTGCCCAGTGAAATGCCAGCTCACTCCCATCAGCTCATGCTGACCTCCTGTCCTGATGTTCCCATAGGTGCCAGTAATCTGAGCACACTGATCCTTGTGGAGGAATTGCTGGATGCTCTGAAGAGGCTTCAAAGGGCAGAGATAGAGGCAGAGCAGATGGAGGATGAATCAGCTGACAGGCACGATGCAGGGCGTCTGGGCGAGTACCAGGTCTGTATTAGGTGTTCTTTCCCATCTGGTTGCACCATCCATCCAGCACCAGCCCCTCCTTGGGTGTGTGAGGCACCCAGCCTCACACCCACCAGAACCTGGACTAATGCAGAGCTCCTCTTCCTCCTGTGCAGAAACTGGCTTCCTCCCTCTGCCACTCCTGCAATGCTGGGAAGGAACTATGTAACGAGGGCAAGAACCGCTACAAGAGCATCATTCCGTGTACGCAAAGCTCTCCTGGAGCTCAAAACTCCTCTGTGGCTGATGCAGTGTGGACATTTGCCATTTCGCTAATGGTCTCCTCTCAAAACACACCGCATCTTCTTCTTGTGCCATGTTCCCCGTTATTTTGTTAGCTCTTCTTTCTTTCTAAACTTGTCCCAAGGCTTGGAAAGCTCCTGAGGAAAGATCAAACAGAGCTTTCCTAAAAGATACTTCCTTCCTTAGACAGTCATTTCAGTGCTGCCCCGAAGGGACAGCCCACTGACTCCCACCTCCCTCTCTCCCAGACGATCACTGCCGTGTGGTGCTGCAGCCCTCTGACACAGGGAATGACTACATCAATGCCAGCTACGTGGATGTAGGTAGCGAGGAGGATGGCTCCTCTACTTCTTGCCATATTAAATGTTTAACATGGGTGACTGGAGCTGTTTGAAACTCTCCCCCACAGAGCTACCGGAGCCCGCGCTTCTTCATTGCTGCTCAAGGTGGGTGCTCCCAGCCCTGGGAGCTGCCCAGAGCTGGCACAGGTCCTCAGGAGCTGCCAAACTCTCTGAGTCCCTTTGAAGTCCCTTTGGGATGGGTTGGTTTGCTCTGTGCAGAGAGCAGAGGGGGTTCTCAGGGTCCTTACAAAGCTGCTGAATTATTTTGGGTAAATAGGACTCTAAATGTGGAAACTCAGGTTGGATATTAGGGAAAAATTCTTCTCAGAAACAGTAGATAGGTACTGTAACAGGCTGTCCAGGGAGGTGGGCAGAGTCTGAAGGTGTCCAAGAAACATGTGGATGTGGCACTGAGGGACATGGTTAGTGGGGTGGGGGAGTGGGCTGGGTTGGACTAGGTGATTTTAGAGGCCTTTTCCAACCTTGTGATTCTATAATTCTATGATCATCGTGGGGACATAGGTGGGACAGGCACTCATTTTCAGATGAGTGGGCAGCAGCTCACTTTCAGGCTTGGTGCAGTGACCACTGCCCTGTGCCAGTACCCATCAGTACTGGTGCACTCTAGGCTCATCCACCCTCCCTTTTGCTGGACCCCTTTTCTAAAATGGGCGCCAAGGTAGGGGTGCCCCGTACCCGTGGCCATGTGCTGCCATGCCCAGGCTGTGTCACATCAGCCCTGGGAAGAGGGAAATGTGGGGCTGCACCAAGGAGCCTGGGGGCACCTCCGTGGTTTGGGCTCTGACACAGGGCTCTCCTCTTCCTTCCCAAGGCCCTTTGCCTGGGACAGTGGTGGATTTCTGGCAGATGGTCTGGCAGGAGAAGACTTCAGTCATTGTGATGCTGACAGGCTTGGTGGAGCACAACAAGGTAAGCATCCCAGCCTGTGCTCAGCTCTGGTCTCCCAGTGCCCAGTTCCCTTGCTTTGCTTTGCTCAGCACAACCCTCAGTAAGGTCACGAAGCATCTCCACACCTCCACTTGCAACGCTCCCCTAATGAAATTGTTGGTGCTGCCATTGACAGATCAAGTGCGAGCAGTACTGGCCAGAGCAGCAGCAAGTATATGGGGACTTCACTGTAACACTCAACAACACCAGGACCACCATGGGTATTGTTACACGTGTCTTCTGCCTGCAGAAGGTAAGGCTGTCATGCAGCTGTGATGGGGTTGCAGGGCTCTTCTGGAGTTATGAGCTGAAATTCAGTCTTGCTTGGGGTCAGCCTTGTTGTCACCAAGCACTATTCCAGAGCATCAGCTCTGGGTTTCTATGCAAGGCAAAAAGACAAGCAGTCAGCTCCAGTGATCACCCTGACTGAGTCTGGACTATGTACCTGGGCAGATCCTGCACTCCCAAGGGCCTGGGAGAGGTGATCACAAAGGGTGGAAAAGTAGCTAAAGGATATGAAAGGGCATCTCTCCACATCCAGGCTTTTCAGAGTGATGAGACAGGTACTTGCCATCTGGGTCAACCTGCAGAAGATCCACATGAAAGCACTGTGGTGCCTTGAGGCTCCTGAACTTGAACAGAGAGATTACTCTATATTAATTATAGAGGTATATTAATTATATAGGTATATTAATATCCTGAAGATATTTCTCAGGATGGGTATTTCCACTGAAGGTTGGAGAAACCAAAAGAGTTGCAAGGAGAAGAAAATGAGTACAGCTGCTAATGTTACACATGTTCTTGTCTTGCCTAGAACAAAGTCCACCTAAAAAGTAAGGCTCCAAGAGCAGCTGGTGGTGGGACACGGCAGTTCATTAGTTCAAGCCAAGTGAATACAGGATGGCCTGGTACCAAAGTGGCTACACGCATATCAGTTAGTATCAGCCTTAGGAAATGCCTTATTTGGGAAAGCTATGGTTTTCTGAAGACTATGGAGAGTTTCAACACCGTGATATTTATTTCTTTCCTCTGAGACACAGGCTGCATTCACTGCTTTGAATTCACAGTTCTTATTGTGTGGAGGCAGAGAATAAAGCAAATTATGTGGTATGGTGAATTTGCTCAGAGTCCTCGTGGTGTCCTTTGCTGTCTGATCAGCTACAGTGGAGCAGCCATTGTATTGGTGGTGCTGTGGGAAGGCTGGGTGCTGGTGCATACCTGCCATGCTTTTCCTCTACTTGTTGACAAGTGCTTCACATAACTTCTCAGGCTGGTTCCTGCTCCAGCCACATCTCCCTCCTTGCAGGCAGGATACGCTCTCCCAAGAACAGTGGAGCAGTTTCACTACATGCAGTGGCCAGACCATGAGGTGCCCAGGAACCCTGCCCAGCTGCTGTGCCTAGTGGAAATGGCGAACAAGAGTGGATCAGAATCTCCTGCGGGTCCTGTGCTGGTGCACTGCAGGTACTGGGATGGGAATGCTCATGTGCTGGACCAAGGCTGGTTAGAGCAGTACCAACCCCTCTTCTGTGTCCTTAGTGCAGGGATCGGGCGAACAGGAACCTTCATTGCCCTGGACTTCCTCCTGAAGATGGCAAAGGCTGAGGGAAAGGTGGATGTGTTCCACTGTGTGCAGAAGCTGCGGGAGCAGAGGATATGTATGGTGCAGACCAAGGTGAGGGGAATCACCTGCTGCCCACATGCTGTAGGACTGCTCCCCCTCCCCCCCCACTGTGATGTGCCAAGCCACATCAGCTGTGATCTGTTACATGGTCCCATCACCAGGACTGGAGCTGCCAGGTGATAGAGACTGGAGGGTTTTGTTATCATTGTGCTGTCCAAACCTAGGGACCCTCTGAGACTCTCTGAAGCAGCATCAGCATGTACATGCACCAACAGTCCTGGCACGGAAGGGCAGGTCCTTGCTCTTATAGGCAAGGAGCGCATGTGTCCTTCAGGCTTTCAGGATGTTTGCCACAGGCCTGTCCAACTGCTCGCAGGATGAGTGGTTCACTGGTTTTCTGGACTTCCTTCCTGAGAGCGGGGGTCTGGTTTGAGAGGTAGCAGAGAAAGATGGTCTTGTCTGGGTGGTTGCAGTTGCTGGCTGCTTCTCAGAATAGGGCTGCCTGCCCCAGGGGTGTCTGGCAAGGAGGTGAAGGGTGGAGCTGGCACCATCCTGATGCAGGTTAGTGTGTTGCAGTCTGTGGGAAGTAGTCTGGAGTCCTAGTGCTGCCCATGGAGCTGCTCCAGATGGTACACTAACTCACATCTCCATGCAGGAGCAGTATGCCTTTTTGTATGAGGTACTGCTAGAAGGCTTGCTCTGTGGCTGTACTGGGGTGCCAGTGGAGAGAGTTGCCAGTCACATCAGCTGCCTCCAAGAAGCTGAGATCCAGAGCCAGAACAACGTCTTGGAGAAAGAGTTCAAGGTACCCTCAGGACCTGGTGCAGCAGGTCTGCTGCCTCCTGCTGTGGGTGAGAGGTGGGGGGAGTGTTTCTTTGTGGTTTATCTGGAGATGGAAAGGGAGCTGACAGGAAGGGCTTGCTCAGGTGAATCATCCCTTACAGGCAGTGCAGAAATTTTCTGAGTTGTTCCAGCTCCTGCCGTGCAGAGAAGCGGAGAAACCCAGCAATCAGCCCAAGAACCGCAAGCCAGGGATCCTGCCAGGTACTGCAGGACTGGGCAGCTCATTGCTCCACGATCCAGCTCCTGAGAGCAGCGAAGGGGAGGATGCTGTTGCCAGCACTGCTGATTCCCTCCCCAGCACCATGACAGAAAAATGGGACTAACCATTCTGCCCCTGGGACCAAATGCCAGTTTCTGGTTGGTGTTGCATAGTATCATAGAATCATACAGATTGGAAAAAGTCTTCAAAACCACCAAGCCCAACCATAAACCTGACCTATCAAGGCCGATCACTAAACCATGTCCCTCAGTGCCACATCTTAGCATCTCTTAAACACCTCCAAGGATAGGGACTCTACCACTTTCCTGGGCAGCCTGTTCTAATTCTTTACCACCCTCTCTGTGCGGAAATTCTTCCTAATGTCCCATTTAAATATCTCCTTGTACAAACTGAGACTGTTACTTAACATAGGCAAAGCATTCCCTCCATGTGAACCACACCTCATCCCCACCTCCTTCTGTGCTTCCACAGCTGAACTTAACCTTCTCCATCCTAAGTCTAATCACAGCCTGAATTCTAACCCTAACCCTAACCCTAACCTCAACCTTGACTCTAACCACAACTGTCACCCTAACCCTCACTGTCACTGGGAGGAGCCCAGATCAGGCACCAGATAGTGATCAGGAATGGGGTTCACAGCTGCTTCAGAGCCTTCCCCTTCACTCCCCTCTGTGCAGGCAGAGGATGGCTCAGCCCTTCTCTGCCCTTGCCTCCACAGCGGACTCCTTCCGGCCCATCCTGATGTCCTCGCTGAATGCAGACGGTTCGCCGGGCTACATCAACGCCGTGTTTGCCAATGTAAGGCTGCAGTCAAGCGGGCTTGGGGCTGCAGGGAGCAGCAGAGGCTCCGCGAGCACCCAGAGCAGAGCTGGGCTGAGCCGCCCAGCTTCAGGCACCCCAGGCCGAGTGCTCCATCCTGGTGACTGTACCCAGTGCCTGGGGCCCTGCTGCCAGGAGATGGCCCCCGAGTTCAGCCGCAGCCCTGACAGCGCGCAGCTCAGCGGGCTGCCGCGCGGCTGCTGCCTTTTGCCTGCGCTGAGTTGCTCCGCCACCCGGTGTGCTCTGCCCAGCCCTTGGCCGCATGGAGGTTGCTGGAGTAGCTGTGGTTCTCACAGGCACGGCCGTGTCTGTGCGTTGTGTCACCGTTTCCTCCTCCCGACTTCTCTGTTTTGCAGACATACAGCAAGGAGGACAGGCTGATCATCACCCAGCTGCCCTTCTCCAGCACACTGGTGGATTTCTGGGCTCTGGTCTGGGATTACACCTGCACCTCGGTGGTTGTGCTGAACCAGCTCCAGGAGCTGGACAAGGTCAGCTGCCTGCTCTTCTCCTGACAGCCTATTTTCTGCCTTTGCCGTATGAATCTCTTCACTGGGGCCCTGCTTGCTATGGGGTCCAGCTGCAAGCTTGTAGTTCCACTTTGCATTGCAGAGTCCTATGGCATTGCAGTGGTGGGGGGAACCCACAGGAACAAGGGTGGCCCTTGGATTTACTTCCCCTGACCCAGTAGGGGGGCTGTTTTTCTGTTTGCTGTCCTGCAGGTCAGCCCCAAGCACAGAGCGGGCAGAGTACCCATATGCATGCTGTAGTTGAGGGGTTGGGCCAAGTGTACCCGTGTGAGGCATTGAATTGCTGTGTGCCACCATGCATTTATCTCCCTTCAGACATATGTGGAGATCTGGCCCACCCAGGGCAAAGCCATCCATGGCCATTTTCACATCCAGTGGATCTCTGAGGAGGCTGGAGCTGGTTTCACAGTCCGGACACTTGCACTCACCAATAGGCAGCAGGTGGGTTTTTGGCATAGCAATGACAAAGTCCTTTGAGAACAGCCTTTGACAGAGCTGAGAGCCACTGCAGGCTTTGGTTTAGGGCCAAAGTCACAGGTGGAAGTGTCAGAGGGAAGGCCTGCAAAAGGAGCAGATTGGTTCCTTGAATGACACTGGTCAGAGCAGGGCCTTCCCCATGGGAGCTTTGTCCCAAGAGGGTGAATCTGTATACAGTGGTACAAGGCAAAGCACAGATACGTGTGCACACCTTTCCAACCTGGAGAACATCAGCCATGAATAGTCTGTGCATCTCAACGGTTGTTTATGGATGGGGATAGCTATTCTAAACTTCTGGACCATATCCATACTCTCTGGCCTTCCTCTCCATGAAGCCAGTGGGTTACTTGTCTGCCCAATCCAACTTCTTTCTTCCTTGCTAGCCCAAGAAATCTGCAATGAAAGTCCATTTCTGGCAGCTGGAGGACTGGCCCATGCAGCACCGTCTTCCCCCACATCCCACCACCATCATCAGCCTGCTAGGGAAGGTGGAGACACACCAGCGGCAGAGCCAGGATGGACACATCCTCATCACTTGCTGGTAAGCAGTATGTCTTTCAGAGGAGCAGCTGTGGCACAGAGATGACTCACTCTGAGTTACATCAGTGAACTCAGGTACCAGCTCCAGTCTCAGCTCATGGTGGACATGTTGAACTTAGATTGGCCACTGCAGTGAAGGAGAATAAGAAATCCTTTTACAAATATATCAATGGCAAGAGAAAAACCAAGGATAATCTCTATCCTTTAATTGATGTGGCGGGGAATGTGACCACAGATGACAAGGAGAATGCTGAGGTCCTCAACGCCTTCTTTACATCTGCCTTTAATAGTCAGACCAGCTATCTTCAGGGCACTTTGTGCCCTGATCTGGATATCTGGGCTGACACACAGAATGTCTCCCCGGAGATTGAGGTGGAGGCCGTTAGGGAGCTCCTCCTCTATCTGGACAGTCACAAGTCCATGGGACCAGATGGGCTTCATCCTAGGGTGCTGAGGGAGTTGGCGGGGGTGATTGCTAAGCCGCTCTCGGCTATCTACCAGCGCTCCTGGTTGACTGGAGAGGTTCCAGAGGATTGAAGGCTTGCTGATGTGACTCCCATCTACAAGAAGGGCTGTAAGGAGGATCCGGGGAACTACAGGCCTGTCAGCCTGACATCAGTGCCAGTTGGTTGATGCTCGGCTGAACATGAGCAGACAGTGTGCCCAGGTGGCCAAGAGGGCCAACGGCATCCTGGCCTGCATTAGAAATAGTGTGGCCAGCAGGAGCAGGGAGGTGATCATCCCCCTCTACTCAGCACTGGTGAGGCCGCACCTCGAGTGCTGTGTTCAGTTTTTGGGCTCCTCACTACAAGAAAGACATTGAGGCCCTGGAACGTGTCCAGAGAAGGGCAACGAAACTGGTGAGGGGTCTGGAGCACAAGTCTTACGAGGAGCGGCTGAGGGAGCTGGGATTGTTCAGTCTGGAGAAGAGGAGGCTCAGGGGAGACCTCATTGCACTGTACAACTTCCTGAAGGGAGGTTATGGTGCAAAAGGGTCTGGCCTCTTCTCCCAGGCAAATAGTAGGACCCGAGGAAATGGCCAGAAGTTATACCAGAGGAGGTTTAGGTTGTACATTAGGAGAAACTTTTTCTCTCAAAGGGTGGTCAGGCACTGGAATGGCTGCCCAGGGAGGTGGTGGAGTCGCCGCCCCTGGCAGTGTTCAAGAGGCGCCTGGATGAGGAGCTATGAGAGATGGTTTAGTAGCTTGTGGCACTGATAGGAATGGGAGGGTGGTTGGACTGGATGATCTTGCAGGTTGTTTCCAACCTTATGATTCTGTGATTCTGTGATTCTATGTTCAGCTGTGTTCAGAGGAAAAGGCTTCCCTGTGGAGGCTGGCTTGGTGCAGGACCATCCCAAGAGCCCCAGCTCTGTGTGGCTGGTGGGACACCTCTGGGGATCAGCACCACTAAATCACGCTGCCCTCCACAGGGATGGTGCCAGCCGGAGTGGGATCTTCTGTGCTGCCAGCTTCCTGTGTGAGCAGATCCAAAGTGAGGGGCTGGTTGATGTATCTCAGGCTGTGAGGATGCTGAAGAGGCGGCGGAGGCAGCTGATTAAAGATGTGGTAGGTGTTGATTTCACACTCATCTGGGAACTGGAGCAATAGTGGAGCACTGGTGAAGAACTGATGGGTGCCCAGGTGCCTGCCCTGCACCCACCTCACCACCAGCTCCAGGTCCTTGAGGCCATCATGCGACTCCTGTCTGGGAGTGAATATCAGATACTGTGCCATGGGCGCTGGCACTCCTCCCAAGCCCAGACAGCCACAGCATCGGGATAGCCTAACTCTCAGCCAGATGGGGATGTACCTACCCCTGGCTTTCTCTTGGAGATTGTGGCAACCATGCTGGCCTTCCTCAGAAGGTATTCTGGTAGCAGGTACTTATCTGAATCCTTCTGTCTACAGGAGCAGTATGGGCTGTGCTATAAACTAGCCCTCAGTTACTTGAATTCATTTGAAACCTACGGCAATTTCAAGTAAGAGACGTGGTCACAGCCCACCTCTGACCAGGACTTCAACCTTCTTGTGGAAGCAATGGAAACCAGAGGAGATGTGCACAGCCTCAGGATCACAAAATCATTAAAATTGGAAAGACCACTGAAATCACCTAGTCCAACCATGCTTTACTCCTCCCATAAGCCACCCTAAGGGCCATCTGCAGCTAGACAACAACAGGCTGGACCATCTCCAAATTGTAGACAGAATTTCAAACATGAACATGGCTCTTTGCCCAGAGTTTTGGCAGGACTTTACTTGGCACCACAACATGAGTACGCTAAGCAGAGGATAGGCACCAGGCCTTGATGTGTACAGGCCAAGGATGCAAAGAACTAACTTTCCCACCCAGTCTCCCCTTCAGACATCCTCAGTGAAAGTGGGGTAGCTGCACTAATGCCCCAGTTGTGCTCCATCAGGAGCACCAAACTACCATGAGATCTCCTGCAGGGCTGGAGCACAGGCCATCTGTCCTGCTTTGGGGGAAGCAGCAAGCTTGTGCCCAAGAAGAGCCAGGGAAGGGATAATCCACAGCCCCACAGTGATGACCTATTCCTTCCCACACCACTCAGTCCATTCCTGCTGCTGCATCTTCCCGATGCTGGTCCTCCAGGTGCCACAGCCCTGACAGTGCCAGAGAGGCTCCCTTACAAACCTGCCTGCCCCACCGTGGAAATCCAAATTGAATGTCCATACTTTGAACGTTGCCCAGGAGAGGCTGCTGCACCACACTGTAGAATGTCTGTCTGGACTCACCCCATAGCTCTATCTGTGTATCACCAATAAAGGCTCTGTGATGGCTTCAGTGGTGGTGGTGAGCTCTGATCTCCACTTTTCTTCCAGGTTTGATCTGACATGGGGGCTACAAAGAAACAGCTCACAGCTCAGCTCTACCCACAGTGTTTGCACAGAACACAGTTCCACCCAAGATGTGTGCGGGCATCATCTCAGCAAGACACAGTTCTGTCAACACCCCACAGGGAGCAAAGCTCCCTATGGGCAATGAGGGGATGAGGCAGGAGCTGTAGCATGGCAAGCAGCCTCCTCCAAACTTCATTTATTGGTTTTCAGGACAGGGCAGACAGGTTGGCAAGGGCAATGCAGTCACATCAAGCTCAAGCAGAGCACTGGGTTTGAGTGGATTTCAGCATAGGGGGGAGATTGAGTGAGGAACCCAGGACATGGCAGAAGCACAAAGCATCCTTCAGCCCGAACCCCTCTGGGAATTTCTGTGTACAATGCTCACAGTCAAGAAAACAAAGGCAAAGTCTAAAAAATGAAACTGCAGAAAATTCCATTGAAAAATTACAGAACTTACAAGGGTAAATAAAAGCTGAGAATAAAAAGTTTATGACCCTCCTTCCTGCTTTCCACCTGCTCTGCTGAAATGGATAGGACACTTAGTCTGGTGATGGTCACAGGAGAGCCAGTGTTGATTCAGGTGCAACCACATCTTCTCTGTATCACTGCTGTTACTCTCACAAGAACTACAGGCGGGAGCTGGGAGAGCAGCTTTCCAGCCTGGCTGGGGCACAAGGGGATATGTCCAAGAAGAGGATGAGCATATGATTCTCCCAAAGGTCAGGATCTCCTGGCTCCAATTTTTCTCTATCTTTTTAATTACTCTCCTTAGCTTTGATGGACACAGCCTTCCTTCTCCTGCAAAGGCAAAGGGCAGTCCTGAGCGAAGGGCTGCTTGTGAGAGAAGGTTGTTCTGCTGAACCACTTTCCCCATCCTACTCACCTGGACTGCACAAACCACATGATGCCTGCAAACAGGAGGATCAGCACCAAAAGCACAACCACTCCAATCACAATCCCTGGCCATGGGTATGGTGGCTGACCTGAAACTAACAAACAGCCAGGGGTGAGTGCCACAGCCTGCGCCACGTCTGCACAGACACTGACCATGGAAGTAGATGTCTGCAAGTGTGCAGAGGTGACTGCAGGATCGGGATATCTGTGGGATCAAGGATCATATATGAGATATGAGATGCTGGGTGCAATGCCCTTCAGCATGGGCATGCCTCCATGCCTTTCCCTCAGCACAAAGCTGGGCAAGGCGTTAGTGTTTCTGGGATTGCATGTGGACTGGGGCAGCATTAGGACCGAGATGTGAGGAGAGATGATGGCATGGAAGCTGCAGGGGGTCCAGCTGCAGCCATGCACACCTGCCCAAAAGGCCAGGGGTACCAAAGCCTGTGCACCCACAGAGAGCCTCAGCATCCAGAGAGCATCCAAGAAGATGGAGGTAGGAACCGGTTATAGCAGGTAAATACTCCCAGTATCTGGGA